CACCCTCCCCCACCGGGCCAGCGGCCAACCCGGAACCATGACGGCACCATGAGGGACCCCCCCACCATCCCTGTCACAGAGAAAAAAACAAACAAAAAAAAAAAAAACGCACTATGCTTCCACATTTGGAGCATGCGCGGCCGCCCCGCGACCATTTTGCAGTGGTATTTTACAGGAATGGCTGGGGGGCCAGCAGATCCCACATGCCTTCTGGGCGCAGGTGGTCCGACCGACTGGTTTGACACATCAGTGGCTGCTGCCTTTCTCGCACGGTTGTAACTCGTGCGTGGATGGGGAGGGGGCACCGCGCGCGGATGCCAGCAGCCACAAGCGTGCGCCAGGGCGTGCGCAATTGCTGGCTTAGCAACAGTTGCGGCGCACGCGGGTGGAGCCCCTACTGGTTGCCAGTGGCTGGCGCACCTGGCGCGGCTGGAGCACGTGGAACACTGGGCGCACGTGGAGCACATGCGCACCCGGCGCGCCCGGCACGCTTGGGCCTCCAGAGCCTGGTGCATCTAGAACCCAACGCGGCGTCTGCGGCGTTCTTACGCGAAATGCTGACTCCCGGGTGTTACGTATGTGTTGGGAGGGCGGATGGGAGTGAGCAAGACGGCTTGCGGGCGGGTGGGAAACTTGGCCCCTCCCCCTACCCCCTCCCCTGGGCCTGGGAGGGGGGGGGGGGGGCGGAGGGGTTAGAGCGTCCAAGATGGCCCACGATGGCTCCAAGAGGATCTCAGAGAGCCCACGATGGCTTCCAAGATGGCTCAAGCAAGATGGCTTCCAAGATGGCCCACGATCGATCCAAGAGGCCTCAAGACGGCCACAAGACCGTTTCAAGTGCCCTCCGAGTCCTCCACGGGCCCTCCTGAAGCCAAAATGGCTCGAAAACCGGAGGAAACCAATGTGCTTCGCATTCTCGCCTTTTCGCTTCAGATGGGCTCTTGAGGCCGTACGATTGCCCCAAGACGGCCCAGAGAGCCCCAACAGGGCCCCAAGAGGGCCCGAAGAGAGCCCAAGAGCTCCCCAAGAGCGCCCCAAGACGGCCCCAAGAAGCCATGATTGAGCCTCCAATAGGGCGGCTGAAGTGACCCCCATATCCGAAGGGTGGGGTTCTTGCTATTACTCTGACAGCGCCGACTCCTCACACTCACCTCCCTCCTCGTACTCCTCGTCCTCCTCCTCCTCCGCCGCCTCCTTCTCCTCACCCAGAGTCAGACGCAGTGCGACGACTTAGGTTATGATATGATGATGCTGATGATGATGGTGATGATGATGGTGATGATGATGGCTATGTTGGTGATGATGATGATGATGATACATGACTCGGCTTGGAAGAAAAGAGAAGAGGGCAAGCGGGCAAGACAGCGAGAAGAGGACAAAGAGTCAAGTCCCCGACCCCAGGCCTCGAATACCTTGCACAACAGCACGGGCGCCTGCACTCCGAACCGCTTGGGCGCGAAGGCGGGCGGCAAGGGCACGACGCGCAGACCTGGGCCCATACGAACCTGCAGCCCGTTGGGAGTTAAATGTTGCGTGAAGCCCATCGATTGCTAACGCAGTGCAGACTAGACTATCTGAATCGACGAGGGGAAGGAGGCCGAGGACAAACGAGGGGACAGGGTCGGCCCCCCAATCAGGAGGGAGCTTGGGAAGACACTCACGGACACAGGGGAGCAGCATGGGGCAGGAAATGTAATGGAGGAGGTCATCGCCTCCAACCGCGGAGCAACCAAATCTACAACACCCTCGACCAGCGCGGAACCGTTTGGACGTGGCCCACGCATTGCATAGAGTTTTCAAGACAGAGCTCGCTACACACGAACCGAGCTTCTGCCCGATCCTGCAAAGTCTTTTCATCGTTAAGTCACAAATGCCAGGGGAGACGGGGCACCAGTAATTGAGACGGCAATTAAATGCACGTGCAGAGGAGGGAGAAGGGAAGAGACGAGACAGAGACTCCACGATCTTCTTCTGGATGTCATTGGCCAGGGTGGAAGGGATGGAAGGGATCGACAGGAGCGCTTCGAAGTTTTTCAGCATATGGATAAAGACCGAGTTCTTATAAGTAGGGTAACGCATATAGAAAATCTCGCAATCGTCATGATATCGGAACTCTTGGAAGAACGATCTTGCCCTCGAGAACTCGTGTGAGCGAAGAGCCGCGCGGAACAGAGCAGCACGAGCATTGGGGCTGACAGCCCTGGCCTCCGCCGAGATTCCGAACTTTTTCAAGTCGTAGAGAATCGGGCTTGTGATCGAAAAACGTGGAGCAGTCGGAAGCTGCTGAAGAGCTTCTCGCTCTGCAGCTAACACACTGCTCGTTATCGGGTAGAACTGGGCGACATGCTGGAGCACGGGCTGGCAGTAAATGTTATACATGTGTATATTTCCTGCAAGGCCTAAACAGAGACTCTTAACATACCGGGCCCGACGAAGCAAGGCCCTGCAGGGCCCAGCCCAGCTCAACTCCAGACCATCAAGCCCCAGGAAGACCCCCAGATAAAGACCAGCCCGACCAATTTTGGCTGCTTTCAGACGAATACGTTTAGCCCGGCAGTCCTGGCGGAAGGACATCTCCCCACGTTCGTGCGGCAACACAAACTGGCACTTCGCAATGTGCAAAAAGAGGCCGGCACTTCTGGCCAACAAGACGAACTGGTGCACCATGATTTCGTGCGCCGAGAAGAGGTTGAAAGCAGCGATCCCAAGATCGTCAGCATATGCACAAGGATGAGCGCGGACTGCAACAAGATCATGTCGGACTTTCCGAAACCAAGGGTCTAGCCCAAGAGCAAACAAGAGGCCAGAGAGAGGACACCCCTGCTTAATTCCCCGCTCAACCTTGCACTTGCCATACACATGGCCCTTGAAACGGACGTGCATAAACATGTTATCGTACAGGTTCTTAACAATAAGACAATACCAGTCAGGGATCCCCATCTTCCTCAATACAAACATAATCCAATCGTGAGAGATACTAGGGAAAGCTTGCTTTATATCATAGAAGGCCATCCCAGGAGCCTCCGCATTCTCATACGCAGCATATTGGGTATAACGGCTGTCAAGGGCAACAACATTGTCAACCAGAGCACGACCGCCCACAAATCCCCTTTGTTCATCGTCGACGGTGCGGCGGGCCACGATGTTCAGCGGCTGTGCGAGAGCAGTACATATCAATTTGCAATCTGTGTTCCCAAGTGCAAGCGGACGGGTCTGATCTGGCGCGCGGCTCGGGTCCACCTCCAGCGACCCTTTCGGTAAGAAGGCGAGGTAGGCATCATTGAACTGATCTGGGATGAGTCCTGTGTCTACAATGTGACGATAATGGGCATAAAGGATACTGCGGGCCTTGGGGCCACCAAACCTCCACGCGGAGTAAGGAATACCATCAAGACCAGGACTCGAATCCCTCGACCTATCTAAAAGCAGGGCGAACTGCTCCTCATCTAAGGTCCACAAGATGTCCTGTGGGCAAGCCTGAATCCACCGACGGAGAGAGTACATACTGTCCTGGCAGGGGCGAAAATGGCGGGCTGCATTCGCCCAGTGGTCCTGCAGAAGTCTCGCACACGCTCGGGGGTCGGTGTGGGTGTTACCTAAGGGGCCCACAATTCCCTGAAGCAGTACTTGCTTGTGACGGGGGGCCCAAGCACGAGACAGCCTTTCAATTTTTGCAAGCCCCGCAGTCCTAGCTGGAGAGGAGATAGACTGGTCATTCAAAATCTCCTGACGGTCGTCGTCCAACTCCTGACGACTCAGCTCCGCCAGATACTCATAAAAGCCATCGGAGTCTATGAGGTGAGCATCATCATCTACAAAATCACGAAGCTTCGGAAACTTGCGAATAGCTAGGCGTTGTTTATCGAGATCATGACGACGGCGAGCGCGATCATACGACATGCACCATGATATTTTATGACCAGTGGTACGAGAGCTTTGAGAGCACGAGGCTTGTTTGATTTCTTGTGCTACGATGTGCATCATCGACTTCACCTCAAGGACAGCCGAGGCAGCATCTTCAGAGACTCCCATCTCATCAATCAGGCTATCGACTCTGACTGCAAACTCAGGCTGCCTACAAATCCATCGTGGGATGGGGGCCGTGATATTGGAGCGCTGGACAGCTAGCACAGCATATACAGGCACATGATCACTAACATCTCGTAATTCAGCCGGCTGCCACTCGACGCCAGCTGCAGGGGAGAGGTCTAAGAGCACCGACGGGGGCAGAGAGGTATATATTCTATCCAACCTAGCTGTGCTAAAAAGGCGACCGTCACGTAGTATACAGTGTGTGTGATTATCCTGTCCTATCTCAGTGTACCTCTGGAAATATCTCCCAAACTCACTGGCTAACGAACCTCGGGGGGCACGGTCAAGAGAAGGGTCAACATGCTGGCGAGCCTCTCCCAATTCACAGAAGTTCCAGTCACCACCAACGAAGACTGTCGCATGACGGGGGTCCAGAGCACGCGAAACACACGATAAGAACTCTTTCTTAGCAGGAACGGAGACTCGAGGAGGGAGATGGACAGAACAGAGTTGAAGGGAGCCTTGAGAACCTTTAAGATCGACCGTGAGACATCTGCCTGCAACCACATTCATCGTATCAGTGACCTCGAACTGAGAATGAAGGCGCTCATGGATACACACCAGAACACCACCAGAGATCTCGTCGGGGCAGAAGGAGCCATAACATCTGTGATGGGGGAGGAGACGAGAGAGGGTGCCTAGGTCCCCTTCGTGTCCGTGAGATTCTTGAATTAGGAGGGCGTCGAATTTCTCAGCTAGCCTAAGAAACGTGTTAAAAGTTTTACTCTGCTTCAAGTGGTCCCCACTCTCAGCCCCAAAGAGAGTGGCAGCATTCCAACTACAGACACTGACCTGCTTGCAAGGTACCCAAGAGGAGGAGGGAAGGGCAGAGGACGCATTCAGCACCGAATGCGAGACAGGCAAAAGAGTGGCAGGGCAGGCGTCATTCACTGGGCCCTCACGTCAACTGAGGTTGAGCATGTTGGTGATGGGGGCCATGAGGTCAGCTGTGATGCCCCAGTCCTCGCAGTCGGTCTGGTTCCACACAGCCGTGCCCTCAGAGTGGACGCGGACGAGGTCCCAGACGTCATTCTCGTTCGTGATCGATATTGAGTTCGAGAATCCTGAGCAGCCCAGTTTACATTTAGGCGACCAGTCTTGATGCCCACGGAGTATCTTCATCAGTGGCATCCACGCCTGGCCAAGATGGCGCTGGCGCATCCTGACTTCATGTGGTAGGTCACCCCTGCAGCGGAGCGTGGTCACCGAGCCCCCACGAGGATCTGTCCACGTTATCTGATTCATGCCAAACCAAGTCGAGAAATCCTTTGCTTGTTGTTCAGTGTTCCAGATGACGCTGAAGCTCTGACTTGACCGATGGAAATGAGGACTGGCCTCACCGACAGGAAGAGATTCAGGGAGGCGACGAACAATATCATCCCAGACTTTGCGCCTCGTCACGTCGAGCACCTTCCGAGGGAACGTGCCCACCCACCTGCGACAGACATTCTGGGAATCAGACGGTGCCGCAGCACCGAGATCCATGGTGTGCGTGATCGATGATGCAGTCGACGGCGTGGCACCAGTGCTACTGGGAAACTCCCAGCGGCGGCGCTTAGCTCCAGACTGTCCACTGTGCTGCGATCCACCTGCATCCGAAAGGGCAGCAGAGCTCCTGGTCATGTCCTTCTTCAACTTCTCCACCGCCTCCATGCACTCGGCGTACTTCGAGTCCATCTTCTTGTGAAGGTCGGCTACGTTGGTCTCCAGCGCCGCGACGGCAGGCTTGAGAGCGAGCAGACCCTCGATCGCTTCATCAGTCTTAGATGTCCGAGCAAGTAGTTCTGCGTGCTGCTTTGTCTGAGCCTCGGCCATCGTCTTCAGCATTTCACCCAGCGACGCGATGTCCGCCATGGCTGGAAGGAGAACGGAACTCGAACGGGGGTCTTCCTATAATCAGACTGAGTAGGGTCGTGTGCAGCCAAAACAAGAGAAAGCGGCAGTCCCTGTCCGTGGGCCTCTCCAGGACTGCACACGTGCGCGGTCCGCCTCGACACTCGAGACGGGGGTTCCCCGAAATGTAGCCTTGAGCCAAAATGGCTACGGATGATGACGATGATGATGATGATGATGACGATGATGATGATGCTGATGCTGATGCTGATGATTGTAATCATGTTGATAAGTATAAGGATGATGATGGTGATGATGACGATAATGATGATGGTGGTGATGGTGGTGATACTATTGATGATGATGCTAGTGGGTTCTAACAGTTTTGGTAGATGACGGTGGTGAAGATGGTGATGATACTGACGAAGGTGACGCGGATGCTACTGCTGATGAGGATGAGGATGATGGTCAACATGATGATGATGAGGAGGATGATGATTATTGCAGTGGCAATGGTCCGAATGACGGAAATGGTAATCATGATGATGCCGATGATGTTGATGATGATGATGAGATGGTGGTACATAGGCTGGTAGTGTTGTCTAGATGATGACGACAAGAACGGCGATGATGATAACAATGATGCCGATGATGCTTATGATAAAAACGGCGACGAGGACAATGATGATGTTGATGGCAATAATGATGGTGATGATAATGATGATGGGTGGTGATGATCATACTGATGGTGAGGGTGATGACAACAAGAATGACGATTCTGATGAGGATGATGATGAGGGCGATGATGATGATGATGACGACGATGATGATGAGGATGAGGAGGATGATGATGATGATGGTGATGAACATAAAGATGGCGATGATGACGGAGCAGACGTTGAGGATGTCTCGGGAGAGGCGCTGGTGTCAGCACATCCAGGGGGGGGGCGCCAGGGGCTGTTGCATGAGCCCATTCGCGCCCAGATTGCGGGGCTGCCTCGAGCGGCTTGCCTGTGTCACCACCCGGCACCCCCCGCTTTCGGAACAGATGCTGAGGATGTTTCGAGCGAGGCGCTGGTTTTCGCACACCCAAAGGGGGGGCGGCCAGGGGCTGTTGTACGGGCCCTTTCGCGCCCAAAGTGAAGGGATGTCTCGAGCGGGTTGCCTGCTTCGCCACCCTGCATTCCCCGCTTTCGGAACAGAAACTAAGGACGTCTCGAGCGAGGCGATGGTTTTCGCCCCGCCACCTTTGAGAAGGTGTCCCGTCTCACTGGCCCCCTGGGCTCGCTACAGTGCGGCGAGGAATCGGGGAGCGCATGCGGCGGCACGCGTAGGCCTGCCTGCGCCGCGGCGGCCACCTTAGCCTCCATCTCCTCCTTCAAGACCTGCAGCTTTTGCTCCGCGGCCTCTGCGACAGCCGCCCCCAGGGCCTCCGCAGTTCCCCTCTCCCATCCGCACCCCTCTTTTCCCTCCTCCTCCTCCTCCTCCTCCTCCTCCTCCTCCTCCTCCTCCTCCTCATCATCATCATCATCATCATCATCATCATCATCATCATCATCATCATCATCATCATCATCATCACCATCCTCATGATCATCATCACTATCATCATCATCATCATCCCAATCCTCATCCTGATCCTCATGATCATACTCATGCTGATCGTCCTCCTCCTCCTCCTACTACTCCTACTCACCATCATCATCATCATCATCACCATCCACACCATCATCATCAGCAGCATCAGCATCATCATCAATGGAATCCTCATGCTCAGCTTCATCCCCACCATCAGCATCCTCATTATCAGCCTCCTCCTCCTCATCATCACCATCACCATCATCATCATCATCATCATCATCATCATCATCACCATGATCAGCTTCATCAGCATCATCAACATCGCCATCATCACCGTAATCTTCTGCATCGCCAGCATCATCATCATCGCCATCATCGCCATCATCACCATCATGTTCGATATCGGCATCCTCACCCACCTCCTCCTCCTCCTCCTCCGCCTCACTCGCCCCGTCGATGTCGTCATCCTCGTCGTCTCCCTCGCCCCCCTCCTGGTCCTCATCCTCAGCTCCATGATCATCAACGGCATCATGTTCCTCGCCGGCGTCGGCGCTGCCGTCATCGTCATAAACATAGCCATCGTCATCACCACGTTCATCCTGATCATCACCCTGATCACCATCGCCGTCATCAACAACACCATCATCATAAACATGACCATCATCAGCATCACTATCATGAGTCATCATCGTCATCGTCAGCCGCATCACAATCACCATCATCACCACTATCACCATCACAATCATCAACATCATCACGACCATCATCATAATCATCAGCATCGCCACCAGAATCAGCATCATCATCAGCATCACACGTGTTGCTGTCGTCACCGCCACTGTTGGCACAGCATACGTCATCACCATCACCAGCAACAACACCACCATTTGAAGATGAGCATCAGTGTCAGTGGCATCACCATCATCAGTATCACAATCATCGTTATCATTCCTAGCACCCTCAGCAACAGCAGCATCGCCATCGCCATCACAATGATCAGCATCAACATAATCATCGTCGTAATCTGAATCGCCGTCGTCATCAGCAAGGCCGTCATCATACCCAGCATGCTCGTCATCGTCGGCATCTTCATCGCTGCGGCCATCAGCATCATCAGCATCATCATCATCACCATCATCATCAATATCAACAGCATCGACACCGGCAGCTCCAGCATTTCCGTCACCATCACCGTCATCCGTAACCGATACCGGGCGATAGTGACCCCCGGAGATGATAAGGTTCTGGGTTTTGGCGGGGATACTAAAAACAGTTCCCCGGGGATGAGGATCATGCTGAGGATGATGACGATGACGACGGTGATGATGATGGTGATTTGGGGCGCTCCGCACATGGCTGGCCCGACAGATCTCGAGGCTCGTAGCAATGCAACTTGCCAGCAGGCGTTCGGCATAAGGCTGGTTCGAAAGGTCTCGAGGCTCGTGGCCATGCAATTTTCCAGCAGGCGCGCGGCGCAGGGCTGACCCGAGCGATCTCGAGGCTCGTGGCTGTACAATTTGCCTGCCGGAGCTCGGCACAAGGCTGACTCGATCTCGGGGCTCGCGCCTACACGTTGACAGCGCAAGAGAGGTCCTTGGCCGATCTGGCCAAGAAACCTCTCTTGCGCTGGACTTCGAACCACTATCCCATGCAAGCGCGGCATCATTTGGAGCCGTCTTTGCATGGGAGACACTTGGTGCAAAGCTGGGCGGCGGCGCTTGCCTCCTCGAGCGTGGCGCACTTCGGTTCGGCCGCCGCGGGGTCCTTACAGGGGTTGGACTTGCGTTTGGCGTCGGCCTCGGCCGTGGCATTGGCCATCGCAAAGTCGTCGTCACTAGCCTCCTTGATTTTACTGATAAACTCGTTGCCTCGAGCGACCATGGCGTTGAGGTTCGCCGGCATTTTGCGGCCCTCGCCTCGGACCTCGCGCAGGGCGCGCTCGATCCAGCGACTCGCCCACAGGCCGCAGCTCCAACCGTCTGCTCGGCACCGTTCGTCGCTCGGTGCTGGGCAATTCTCGCCAGGGCCAATGGCGCCGAGCCCGGGGAGGATCCTCGCGGCGGCCTTGGGGGGCCACGCGCGAACCCTGACCGCGATTTTCGGAGGAGGGCGGGGTGCGCTTCGCTCGGCAACTCCCGAGCAGAGTGAACCCTACCTTCCCCCCACTTGCGAGCGTGCGCGCCCAAGAACTGGCCCGCGAACTTGGACGCCCGTCGGGCGCGCCCTTCTGCTAGTCGGTGAGCTCGAGGTCCAGCTCTCGGAGCTCCAGGAGGCAGGGCTTCTCGCCCTGCTCCGGGTGCCCTCGAGCAGCACTTTCGCCAGGCTGTTCTCGACGCAGCCGCCGGGCTCGATGGAGTAGCTCCACGGCCCCATGAACGCGACGATCTTGAGCTCGCCATGCTGTGTCGGCCGGACCGCGAGCATTTGGTTGGCTGGCGGCCCTTGGAGCGGCACCGCGCCCTTGTCATTCTAGCGGAAAGGGATGTAGGCCTCCGAGACGCAGAAGAGGCACTCGTAGGTCTCCTATTGTGTCCGGGACGTGTGCTCCTTCTGGGGCTCGGCCTTGGCCTTCTGGATCCGGTCTTGCCCCATGGCCCAATGCATCTCGGCCTTGGCCTCTCGGATCTTGGCCTTGGGCTGGCCGCGCTCGCGAGCGTCAAACTCTCACCAAGAACTCGCGACGTCGGGGGCCGCACTCGCAGCGCCACTGCAGCGGCCCACTGGCTCGAGAGGCAGTCTGCGAACACGAGTCTCTGGCCGTGCTCCTGCGCGATGAAATCGATGGCCCACCTCGCCACCAGCACGTCCGCCCAGGCTCTCGGCTGCCCCCGCGCGTCGACGGCCTCGAAGAACCTCGCGCGGTCCGCCTCGGAGAACTCGAGCAGAGCGGTGCGCCGGCCCTTGAGCCATGCTCCTAGGGGCTCGTCTGCTCGGAAAAGCTCCGTCTTGCCATCGCCCCGCACGTAGGTGGCGTCGCGACGCCAGGTACCCCCCTCAGGCTTCACGTCGCTGACTCGGCAGTGCCTTGCGCAGGGGACAGAGGGCGCGCTGCGCGTCTTGACAGACTTCGGCCCCCTGCTCGGGTCGAACTAGTTCTCGACCGCGGAGATGTTGATGAGGGTGATCCTGTACTTGTCTCCTGCGCTCCACTTGCCCCTCGCGGTCGGGGTGCTCTGCCAAGAACTTTGCCTTCTCCGTCTCGAAGGCTGCCTCGTCGCGCTCGTTGGAAGTCTCGTGGAACTGCTCGCGGAGGTTCTGGGCGCGTTTCTTGGCGCCCGCGGCGGCCGCGGCGCCGACCTTATGCGCGCCCGAAAAGGCGCGGGGAGAATGGGCACGATGTCCCGCAACAGATGTTGCCCCGAACCAACGGCGGCCGCTGTTGGGAAGGCGGCCTGCTGTCTCGAATGGGCACGGGCCGCGGCGACACCGACAGCGAACCCGGTTAAAAATGATCAGGAACTGCTGTTGGGCACTGTACCTTTTCCTTCCGCACCCATGTCGCTCGCGCCGACACCTCGCTCTCGCGGAGGCACAACTGCCCCTCGCCCCAGAGCTCGAGCCAGAGCGCGGCGACGTCGACGACGACCGCGCAGCGCTGGCCATGCGCTGGGCGAAGGCCCCGGTGCCCCCGACGAAGAGGCCGAGGTCCTCGGAGCCAGCCCTCGCCACCAGGTGCACGAACCTCATGGTAGTAGTAGTAGTAGTAGTAGTAGTAGTAGTAGTAGTAGTAGTAGTAGTCGTAGTAGTAGTAGTTGTAGTAGTAGTTAGTAGTAGTAGTAGTAGTAGCAACAGTGGTAGTAGTAGTAGTAGTAGTAGTCGTAGTAGTAGTAGTAGTAGTAATGGTAATCGTTACTCGTTCGTCGTAGTGGTAGTGGTACTACTACTGTTACTACTACTACTGCTACTACGGCCACTACTACTACTACTACTACTACTACTATTACTACTACTACTACTACTACTACTACTACTAACTATGACTAGTACGAATAGTAATGAGTACTCGTAGTAGTACCTGGTAGTAAAAGTACCTGGTAGTGGTAGTAGTAGTAGTACTAGTAGTAGTAGTAGTAGTAGTAGTAGTGCCTGGTAGTAATAGTTACGAATACTAGTACAAGGGAGTGATAATAGTAGTTAGCAGTAGTGGTAGTAGTGGTAGTAGTTGTAGTAGTAGTAATGGTAGTAGTAGTAGTAGTAGTAGTAGTAGTAGCGACTAGTATTAGTAGTCGTAGTAGTAGTAGTAGTAGTAGTAGTAGTAGTAGTAGTAGTAGTAGTAGTAGTAATAGTAGTGTTAGTCGTAGTAGTATTAGCAATAGTACTAGGAGTAGTGATGGCCTCCTTCAGCTTGTTGATCCACTCATTGCTGCGGGCGCGCATCGGGCGTTCGGCGGCCATCGCCTAGGATCTCGCGCAAGCGCGCGCTCGACAGAGCGACTCGTCAAATTACTCGTAGTAATAAGATGTGCGAGTGGTACTCGTAAATATTAGAAATAGTAACTAGTTCGTACTGCCACTACTACGAGTATTAGTAATACTACCACTACTACGACTAACTACAACTAGGACTACACGTACTATCTATCCGCCGTGGCCCAGGTGAGCTTGGCCGCCCTTGCTGAGGGTATGCTGCCTTTCTCTGGTCGGAGAGGCGCTGGCCCTTGCGCCCGCTCGAGAGGGCGAACTCGTCCACTCATTGCATGTCCTTCTTGCTCGTCTGGTTAATCTGGAAGGTACTTAGGCGCTTGATGAATAGATTAAGGAGCTCGGCGTTGTAGCTCTTGTGGCCAATCTTCTGCAAGTGGGGGCGCTTGTCCTGCTCGCAGGCCAGCTCG